TTTACTCGAAAACTGTAAGAGATAGAATTAATCCAATATATGCATATGAAAGCTGAATGTTTGGGGAATCCAGCAAGTATAGATACATTTCTGTGCTGTTATCAATTTTGCTGTAATACGCATTCATTTTATGAAATGTAGGGGGTGGGGTGGCGCTAAAAAACCACTTGGAAACCACTGCTCTACACAATCCCCCTAATGATCTCCTCTACTCCAAAACCAAAATAGTCCCTCCCCTCAACCGATACCTTTCCCTCTCCTTGAAATTTAAATCCAAACAATCCAACATCGCCTCCCTCTCTAAATTCTGTGCCCCTCGAAACCCAAATATAATTTCCAAATTTAAAAATCCCACATTATCCCTATTCCAATACCTAATGTCCTTCGATTGATACCCACTTATTCCTACTATGCTGCTTTTTTTTTTTCATTAAATTTTGTTCCCGGGCGGAAAGTCCTTTGTCGATAGCCCTTTGGCCAGCCTATTAATATATAATTTTTATTTTTATTTATGTTAGAATTTATTTATTTGTTTTGAAAATTCTTATTATTATCATTTATTTATAGAATGTATTCTTTATGTAACTTAAATTCAATAATAGAACACACTATATAAATATAATATAAATAAGTTGTTTTTGACTCTTAGCTCCACCTGTTCCTATTGTCACGAACAGTTGATTACTATGTAATATTAGATAGAAACAGTTCTACACGTTCATAAAGACAGTGTTATACATTGACACCTGATATTAATACTAAATTAATTTTTTCCAAGTATTTTTTAGTAATCTGTATTTTTCAACAGTCAATCTTTAGAACCATAAGAGATAAGTTGAATTGCGGTTGAATTGGATAAGAAGAACTAAAAACTTATGAAGTAATATGCAGCAGTATAGTAGATATTTTTGTGAGAGTAATAAATTAATGAATGCTATCAATAAAATAAGTAAATTCAAACATAAGGTGTTCCATTATTCAAAATATGAGAAAATGGTATACGATATGTAGAAAGGTATAGGATATGTAGGAAGGTATAGGATTTCATAAGAATATTTAGTGAATATAGTTTATAGGAGTAGGAGATTTACCCTTTCGGGTTTACCGCCCCCACAAATTTTGTTTTTTTTTAGATACAGGCGAATAATAATTTTCACTTTAGATATGTTCTGACATTATATTCAAACTATGATTTGCAATAATTCATGTGATTTTTATTTTTTTGTTGTATGTAAAATAAGTAAGTAGGTAAAACAAGTAAATTGAATAAGAATATTTGAGAAGATCATAAAGCAAAGTAATATTATAGTATTACGTGTAAAAATCTAAATCATAACTTTCTTTAGAAACCGGTTTTTTAATTCCTACTCTTCATTTATGAGGTTTACCACCTATACAGCTAGAGTTTGTTGCAGAGTTCGGATGTGAAGTGAGCTCAAATAGTAGTTTAGTGAGCCACATCAACACACGAAGTTAAGATGAGATTTCTAAATTGGATTTGCATTTTAATAGTCACCCTTGCCTTATGCTCGGCTTCCCCAATTGACAGCAAGGATTCTCCTAATCAAGGTAACAAAAACAATATTAAATATGGGTTAAATAACAATAAAAAATAATAATAATTTACAGCTGCTATAGGCACGGCCTTCGATGAAATCGTTGTTGCATCCTCTCTAACAGTAAGAAAGAAAAATGACGCAAGTCGGCAGTTCAGGAACAAACAGCGTATGAGGCGAGAAGTAAAGTTTGATTAATTTTTTAACAAATCAATAAGGAAATTAATTGTATTTGACTTTCAGATAAATCAGTAAAACTATTATCATACCAGATTCAGTACTATTCACCAATGCCGACGACCTATTTATCCCCAAATGGTCAACTAACATATTAATTGCAAACTGCCAACTCTAAATGGATGGTCAACACTTAACCGAAGATGCCACCAAGTTCCCCTCCCAATCACTCTCTAACCAATCCCTAACAAAGCAGAATTTTAATATGAAATAAAATGTATACATATTTAACGCATAACGTATTTCGATGTAAGTACAATGAACCGCAATTTTCGAATCCATTGCTATTCTAACCGCTTCACAATGGCTACCTTTATCCAAAAAAAAAGTCTACAGAAAATCAACAACACAAAGAATTAATAAATGCTTTAATATATGAACGTTGCGAAATGCAAATTGTAGTTTTATTGGAATTCCGAAAACAAAAAAAGTCGAGTGAATAAAGCAGGCTGCAATAATAAATAATAATATTAGAATTCTCAGATCCGCAACTCGCTGTGAATATATTTGAATACATATTTGCAGGTGTTCAGATTTAAGATCTAATGAAAAATTGCAGGTGGATACAACTCTTCAGTTTGATTGATTTATTAGAAATAATGGAGTTATTCGCATCCACTTGTAATTGTAATATGCGAAATATGATTTTTTTTCTAGGATCATCGTTATTCAAGGTACGTGCTCGACAGATAATAAGGCAAGGAGACAATGGATGATAAAAATTCCTTCTCGAATTGATTTGAGAATAAAATGGAAAATAGCAATAGACAATAATTTTGTGAGCTAATTATTGCATGATTAACAAAGTTCTGGCGATGAACTGTGTACATGTTTGTGATCACGTAAATTATAAATAATTCTATTATTAAGAATTGAAATTGATTTATAAAGTTATGTCGGAAATTCCGAGAAGACGTAAATTTTTGCAGGGACATTGCGTATTTTTCTATCTGCACATTGGTGCATTACACATGAAAATATATACGATCTAGTCATATCAATGAGTTCCGCCTTATCCAAACAAATCACATAGCTTGAATATAACGTTAAAAATCAGTCTGGCACTCTTATTTTACATGAATGCGAAACACGGATTGAATTTTTATTGACAATGAGAACATCCTGATTGGGTGTGTGCACAGGGTTGTTTACGGGTGGGGGATAGGATTTTGTAATATAAAAAGATCTCCTGATTAAGAAAAATTCAGTACACCCATCCATCAACAGCAACCAACAACAACAACGACAATGAAAACTATTGTTTTGTGCCTGTACATCTTCATTGGGATTATTATCTCCTCCACTGCTCAGCCTTATGGTAAGTTTTATGCGGTAACAATAAACGGATATCATGTAATTAAACTATAATAACCTTCAGGCTACAGACTAAGAAGGTCCTATCCACACCAAGCAATGATGTTTAGCGGCGGGTTCTACGGCCGTCCCGGTCAAGGTCCTCAAGGATCGATGACGGCCTTCGCTTCTAGGGACGCCATTGCCACAAATAGTTATTTGGGAGGTAACGAATACCTGGGAATGCCAATCGACGAATCTGCAGACGATTCAAATCAGGTACATAAGCATCCGGACCACAAGACTGATATCACTGAAACCGAACAAACTGAAGGTGAAGAGGAAGAAGAACTTGAATATACTACCACAGTTAAGCCGAAGAAGATCCCAGCCAAGCGTAAGCATGTTATCAAATCACAAGAGGATGAGGATGACGAAGAGGATACCGCAATCTGGCCACTGCAAGGCTCACGCAACGGCTACAACGCATTTTTTCCTATCTTCTTTGGAACTCGCGGTTCTTCGCATAGATCAAGTGAGTCCGGCGAGGGCTATAATCCAGGATCCGCAACAGCGATAGCCAACAGCTTCAGCACTGGGAAAGGAGGAGTGGCTACCAGTCACGCCACCGCCTACGGCGATCCGTACTTAAGCGTTCTCCTTAGAAATGGCGGAAACGTTAAGAGGAGAAACTCTAAAAATGACAATTAGTTTAAATAACAGAAGAAAAATCAAGATAAATCCCATACTTATATTTAAGCGCACCATTGTATTACGCTCTTAGTTAACTCAATAAAACAATATTATAAAACTTGTTGCTTAATATTTACAAAATATTTAGTACACAAATACATAGAAATACATTTAATAACAATTACAAAAATAAAGTAAGTCATTAAGGACATTACAAATGTGATATCTTATTATATATATATATATAAAACCACATCGCTGCTGATGCATTGATCGAAGTATAAAATAATAGACGAAACTCAGTTACATGACAGTTATCAATAATTGCTTTATAAAAAAATAATTATTACCTCTCCAAAAATAAAAGTCCATATGAATAAAAGATGCAAAACATAGAATATCAGCGGTAGTGTTTGGACATGATGATGATGCGTTGCTTTAAACCCTGACTGTTCGAGAAATGGCAAAATGTAATTAAATAACGTACGAATGTACAAAAATGCCAAGACAATAATTATATAAATTACATATACTTATTTACATTATTTATATAAAAGATCTATGGCACATTTAAAAACAAATGACATAAAAAAAAAGTAGTGTGAAGTACAAAGTATAAAATAATACTACAAAACATAAAAGTAACAAAGTGATGTAAGTAGTTTGCATTAAAAAAAAATATATATACAGATAACTAATATCTAATATGAAATTGAGCCCCGAATATTAGAAGTAACTTACATGAAATGGTAACTAAATTCTACAAAATAAACTAAAGAACGAGATTTATGCATTCCCAAGAATAAAAAAAAAAAAGAGTAAATCATCAAATTATAAAATTAATTATTTATATACCGTATTATATTGTTTTAAATCTTGTATATAGGAATTCAAATGCAGAGTATTCAATTTCTTGTATATGTGTATAAAAAACACTTTCTATCTTGTATATAAAAGGATATTGAAATGTATCTATTTTAAATATATCACAGATCATCAATGCACGGTTTCATCAGATCTAAATATTATTAGGCAGAGAAGGCATATTAAAAAATTATAAAATCCCAGATAACAAAAAACATAAATTAAATTATTACATAAAACATAAAGGGTTTTAAGATAATTGTAAATAACATTGTACGCACTTCAAACAGCACGCCAGCACGAGAAATTATTATTTACAAAAAAAATAACTTATATGTATATACATATGTATGTATATATACACACATTACTATATATATATAAGTGGGTGTGTATGTTTTAGTTATGCTAATAGATCTAAATAAGGATAATACCATTAAAAAATTATTCACAAATTTCAGTACGACCCTTGATCGCATGTAATTCTTCTTCGAGAGGTGCTTGCTCGTCGACGAAATTTATGCTACCTGCTTTGTACCATACAATCAAATCTACAAAGAAGGCGCACAGCAGGATCGCACCTGTCGTACCTATAAATAATAGAAGTTAGTAAGTTGAGAAGTGAATAGAATGTGAATGATGGAATATTACCGTGGTAAAAGGTTCTGAACGTGCTGGAATCGTAGAAATTACACGCTCCTTTCTCATCTTGCACCTGTTTCCAATCCAAGCATGCTGAATCAACGACCGCTCCATACACTATAGGACACGGCACGTTTCCAAATAATCCAATTGCAAATTGTATTAGACCTAGAGCCATAGCCTTGTCTCGAGGATCAACGCATCGCAGAATCAACAGCATAGAGCCCACTTCGGAAGTTGAATGGATGAACACGAATACGGAGAAAAGGACAATGTACCAGAAAAAATTGTTACACGTAACATCACAATAGCCGATGGTAGCAGTATCAAACTCGTTCCCCAGGAATATAGTGGCATTATCCCTCATGCAGATACAGTCTGAATACTCTATAATTTTCCCATCACGCTCTGTAAAGTTTCTGCATCCTGCATGACAAGCCGAATAATAAGTTTTGCCGTCCTCTCCACAAATTGGTGCAAATTTATCACCGCTGCAAGCGCATAGAGTGGTATTACAGATAGGCTCCAAAGACCCGTGTCTAAAATAAGAAAAAACATAAAGCCGCTACAAAGATGAATAAATCCAATCATTGTATACCCTTCTAAATCATGCATGGGACAACCGATAAACATGAGGATACCCATACCTGCAAAAAATATAAATTGCTATACATATGCGACAAAGAAAAATAAAACTGAAATACCTAAAGCGTAAACGACTGCTGTAAACGCTATCCAAGCAGCTACAAAACGCGCGTTTGGTTTCACTCGCAATATAAACACGCCGCTTATTATTATACCAAGACCCATCACTAGAATTCCACCGACTCCTGAAAACAAAAGTAAAACGAAATTATATAAACATGAATTAAATCGGCCATTTAATAATATAGAACCTGAAATCATGTTGGCTGAAGGTGTCGGCAGGCGGAATTGTGATTCTAAATACTTTGGCAGGAATGTATATAAACCTGCTATTGGCAATATATGCAAAACGCTGCTGGCTGTGCGGAACATCAGGATGTCATTTTTGAGTAACCTTTTAACTGTCTTCGGAAAATCCCTTATGCTCGGGTGCTTCTTGCCACTGCGACGCATCCTTGGCTGCGGCCTGGCACTTGGAAGTCGTTTGGGAAACGTGAACATCGCAAACGACGTGAGCATCAGTAATGCAGATATTAAAACTAAACCTGTAAAAGTGTGAAAAAGTTAGTTCTGAAAGTTTCGTAGTTTCATAATTTGTTTTTACCCAACCACCAGGCTCCAACCCATCTGGGATCGCTGGTATCTATTTTTGGATCTACGCTCAGATCAGCGTACACGCTTGTGCAGAATGAGCCTACTATGAAGCCTAAAGCCGGGCCTAAAATTCGGACTCCTATCGTTATTGCTAGAATCCAGAAAAAAACATTGTTACGTTTTTTAGAGGTGAAAGGAAATGGGTTATAAATACCGAAATATAGAGGAGATTCTTTACTCGCAACATTATCGTCGATATACGGTATGCCTAATGTATAAACGGCCGTTTGTCCCATACCTACACCTAGGAGGCTAATGAAAAATATGGCTAAAACTATTTTCGTGACGGACGGTTGAATTCGATGTTCATAAAGGTTTTCATCGAAAGGTGTGAAATTTTGGAAATCGTCGATCGTGCTCATCATATCCATGTTTTTCGTAAGATTACTTTTGCAAATGTTAGAATCCTTCGAGATTCCGGTCAGGTCATTGGCGTTGATCAACTGTCTCCCATAAATAAAGTGCGGCAAGGAACATGTGAAGGAGGAGACAGCGAACAGAACCATTCCCCACGCGATCCACTTGGGCCGGTGCCCGTGGCCGCCGTAATATGTTAACAATAACGAGGAACCGATCTGGCCAATCTCAGTAGCGCTCATAATAATCCCTGTGATTTTCGATTGGATTTGGAACAACTTTTCGATGGTTGTGATTGCACTCACGAAATAAGTATGGTACATGCCTTGAAGTACCCAAGCAATGCAGAACACCATAAGAAAGGATTGTTTGGAAGCAAACTTTTGCATTGAAACGGGGACACATCGACCAAGACCGCATTCCGTATCGCTATCGTCGTAGTCCTCTTCGTCACTTGTTGCCGTCTGCGACTTATCCTCCGTCAACGAAGTTCGATCCTCTGGGATATGACTCTCCTCTAGCCTAGTGTTTCCTTCGCCCATGCCATTATTGTTGGTGGACTTCTCGTTTGCGCTGGTCCACGTTGTGCCTACGCCGCCAGCCCCACCGTTCATCATAGGCACGGTGGTCAGCGTAGAATCCGTCTCCGCGCTCGCCATTGCGTTCTGACCTAATCCAATCCGTTTCGATCTTCTTATACTCGAACTAGTTTATTGCTGAAATCAAAAAGAATAAAGAAAAACATTAATAAGACAATCAACTGCCTAAACATATAACGATCACGACAAAAAAAATAAATAAAAGAAAGAATTACAATAACGAAAACTTTCTAAAATGCCAACTATTTTCGAAAATCAATATATATATTCTCTTCCGTGATATGGCCTTCATCAAATCTATTGACCGAGATTATCCTTTCCAATTGCCTACTACTACTACTGTACGGTGCTTTTTATGTCACCTTCGAATTCATTTATTCCTGGCGTGCGTAATTTTCACATATTCTATACAAAAATTTGCTAATTTTATGTGGATGTGGACACGTTCGTTTATGCGCAAGTGTGCGTGCGCGATTCGCAACTGGCTTGGACAATTAGCTTGAGGTCAACGTCATCAGTGGAAGTAAAATGTATGTATGTAGGTTAGATCAAAAACATTCAACATATTGTATTGAGGCAGCAGAAACGAAAAATTTAATTGGAATGCATACAGGGACATTGTAGTGAGTTCGTATATTAATTACCGCCAGAATGGTGGTCTCATCGTGCTAACGGAGTAGGATTTACATCGGTGCCGTTGAAGCATTCCAAGTGAGTTAGTAAAATGATAGAATGCTCGGACGAGGCTGCGAAGCAGAACGAGTGGACGAAGACATCAGTTATAACAACAAGAGGAGGATTCCAGTAGACGGGCGACCGCGAAAGCGGAAAAGCGAATCCAGTTTTCTTAAGCGGAGAAAGGGGAATGCGGTTTCATTTTCAAGCTCAAGCGAGAGAGAAAGGCCGCGGGCGCGTCGTCCTCTCTAGATAGCTCTTCATTTTTGTTTAGCTCTTACGTTACACGCCTTCGAGGAAAATAATAAAAATAATATAAATATATATGAAATACAAATATGTATATATATATATATAAATATAAATACAGAGAAATGAAGGTATGCTGAAGGAGAACTAAATTAGAAATATGGAATGAAATAATAAACCTGACTATTCCCACCTGTTTTTTGTGTATAAATTAGCACGGGCGCGCTTTGGGTGTGTTATGTGATATACACTGTACCACTTTATTCAAGAGTTATAATAATGGGGTACTCTTCCAAGGCAGAACTGGATTGACGGATACTATCATCTCGTATTATCACGAACGGTCAAATGTGAATAAAATCTATCAACGATGATCGACCATCATTCAATAGTATGTAACTGACTAATACAAGTTCTTCTGTATTGCGTGCGTGTGTGGATAACACCCGGCACCAGATGGACGAAGACACGGACACGAAACTGAACACTTTCTCCGTGCAGCACCCTCCGGTGTTCAACAAAACACTGCACAAGAACCTTGTTCGGTTCCGCAGATCGCGCGGCGACTCGCAGCTAGTTCTATGTGCCGGTGCCGGTGTCCTGATTAGCATAACCGAATGGTATAGCTCGTATCTGAATGGTGAACTGGCCCGAGAGGATGTAGGTTATCTGTTGCATTGTTCTTGTTTCCAGCTCGGTTTAAGTCCAATTAAAAATGTATTAATATACTCAATTGGAGAAAGAAACAAACAAGGAGATATTCAAGAAATGCCTTCACACTGCACCCGTGTCCTTACTTAACTAAATTGAACCTAATCAACTGTTCACTTCCATCAACAAACTAACTGCAACCGATATAAATTGGTAATGGCGATTCTTCTATCATCTAACGAAGAGCGCTTCAGCTACAGTGGGCTAACTAAAAAACGTGGCATCCCTTCTTCACGTAGAGCTTGTGTACGCTGAACACTCGCCTACAACGGTAGTTGCGCGCATGACTCATATGCCGAACCTGACGGTCATGAAGAACGAGAAAGAAACGAAAACAGAAAATGGAAGCATCACCCGTAGAGAGGCATTAAATCATTTAAATTGCTTCCAATAAATTCATAGCAACTAAGTCGTCGTAACGATTATTAAATGCGCGGCCCTAGATTAATCAACGGGAGCAATAACCCAATCAATGCTCATATCTTATCTAGTGAAGTCATCACATGCGCTATTTCCCGTTCCCAGTAGAGCATTGATAGAAATGTTCGTTGAAAGGGGATAGTAACGGAATTAACAAATGCAAGTGAAAAGAATTGTAGTATTGAGATAGGTTGTGACACATTAGCAGATGTATACAGTTGTAGCATGTAATTTATTTAGGTGTATCGATCAGAAGACGAAGCGAATTTGAAAAGAGCAAACGGTAAGGGCAATGCGTGAAATTGCGAAGCAAACACAATTCAAGAATTTTGCGCTAATTGGACGCGCACTCGAAAGTACTCACTGGATTCTGAACGCGCAAAATATACGCCCGATTCCCAAGATTTGCGTTAACTGCGCCGCTCGGATTCCGCGATGCGCAAGATACCGATGCGCGAATTGGGTTTTCCCCCTAGCATTGAAAACTTAACTGGATATAGCGGCAGTCTTCACAATTAACAACTCCGTCCCAAAAATAAACTTTAGAACCTACAGATTGACCTACTATGAGTACACTCAACTTTCGCTAGTTAACCAGTGTAATTCGAAAGCGTGTTATCACGATACTCACACACAAATAGTGAAGTATATATATATATAAATATATGTACACACATAAACGCGCGCGCATTCACACGCTTACAAAAAAATAACCAATATAAATGTATCTTCTTTAAATATAAATCTCAGTTTGATACTTGCTTAAAAAATGTTACATTTTGTTCTTGACCAGTTTAAGTTTTCTTTGCCATCTGCGAACATAAATTTACTGATTGAAACAAAATGGTAAAATAACAAAATTTGTTAGCTACTGCCTTTGTTTACTTTGATTTCTGAAAGATTGAAGAACGCGCGCGTGTTTTGGTAGTTGAAGATTGTTGTGGACTGAATTAGTGTATGTGAGCGCGCACAGTTCATGATCTACTTTTTAAATATTCCTTTCCACATTTAACCACTTCTTTTTTGTCGTCGCATTCGATAAGAGCTTCGACATTCTTATTCAGCTAGCATCAAATTTAATTATTCGAACTTTCCTCACAACCATTAACAGCCCTATAAACAAAAATCTTTTATATAATCAAATGGCGAGATCTCGTCTAGCCCCAGACAATCCTATCCCAGCAAATGCGTTGAATTGTGTTTCACAATTTTCATCTGATAAGAAGATTCATTGTAAATGCATTTGTTACTAACAGCATTGCTTAAAAATTCCGTTTATTATATTTTGTTGACGCCGGCTTGCAAATTTTGTTTTTATTCTCTTTATCTTGCATTTATTACAACAAAATCATGACTACTAATTATATTATTCCGTTAGCAGAGTTAATGTCTAAAAACGTCGCCTGATGATGCAAAATACAAATGCCAACGTCAAAGTTTGCAAATATAATTTATTTTTTTTAATATATTTGTGTATTAACCCTATTTATGGCACGCTTTGGTGCTTATCAGTACAACATTTTTAAGTGAAAAGCTGAAATAAAAATATTCATCTCGTGATCCACTTGTCTAACAAATTTCAAAATTTGTTGTATTTGTTCACAGAACGATTATTTATTTGATTTATGTATGTTTTATTTAACTTCAAGCATTGTTTACATCACAATTTTTTTATATTAAGTACAAAAAAAACTTTCAGTAATTACAAGTATAAGATGAATAATTGAACTTTAATATTTGATACGTGTTTAGAATATTTCATTATTTAATAATGATTGGCTTCTGTTATGTACAATTATATACAGTAAATAAATAAAGTTGTCCCGTTTTAAAATTAATTTATTGTTAGGAAATATAACAAACATAAATAATAATATAAAAATTATAAACCAAAAACAAATAGAGGACTTTAAAACTGCACAAATCCGCACTGAACAAAGTCACAGTATTTATTTTTGTTTACTTTTTATTTTATATATGACTGTTGTTATTATTGTATGAATTTAAAAATAACTTTGAATCATTTATGAAATGAAGTCGATCATATGAGTGTTATTTACATTGATAAACAAATCAGTAACAGACATTTTATTATAAACAAGTACAGAAAAATAAAACACAAATAAAAAAAAAAATTGGAGAAAGAAAAAAACTGATTACATGCTCAAACTGCCATTTATTGTATTTCATCAATTTACATTCATAATATTTATGTTTATATGCATTTCGTAAATAATGTCGGGACTTCAATTGAATGCAGCTTGTATTTACATTCGTACAGTAGTTAAAATTAAATTGAACCACGACAATTAATTTTAAATTCCACGAGATCGAATTCAATTGAAAAATACAAGCAAAATATTTGTGCAGACAATTGCTTGTATATTCATAGCCGGCGCTACCGATTGAACAAACTAGGCATTTACCCACACACATATATATATATATAGTTTTAGCACCCTGAAAAGGTCGATCGAGTGTTTTTTTAGGTAGAAAGATTACATATTATATTTTTGATATTCAATTTATAAAAAGTACACCAATTATTTTAACCTAATATTTATTAATATATTTTTAATACTTCTATGGTAGATCGTCGATGGTTTAACTCTGAACGTCCTTGATATATAGGATTAGTATAGAAACAGAGGGCCGTATTCTTCTGATTTTTACTTATCGCGTGTGTCGTCGTTTAACGTGATATTTTATCAGATATGGCTAGACTTCTTACATACACTAAATGCGGTTCAGTATACGAATTTCAATTATTTTTAGTTATTCTCAGAAAAAAAAGAGACTTGAATAATTTAAAAAATATACATTTATACTTTTAAACTCAAAATTTACGTAAAAGCAATGAATCTAAAACAATATGTGATTCACATATGGGTACCCGGCACATATGGGCATGAGCCCGTATTGGTTTTAACAGACGCCATAAGAACTGCCAGTTTGTGAATTTAAAAGAACCAAATGATTAAATTATAAAACTTTTAGTAAATATGTTGACAACCAGGATACTAACTAGCAAACAGCTATAATGGAATCATGCGTTGAATATATAAGTTACCTGTTCGGTCAGGGAGAGGAAATGCATTGATTCGATTGCGTAATATATGTAAAATACACTCTCTCATACACACCCACATATATATACGTACACACGTATCCATGTATGTACGCTTGTATCCATAAATTAGTTTAAGCTATTTTAAAAATCGCGATATCTTAAGTGACTTCAGTTAAAAACTCACCGCACAACAACAATATAGTAAGTAAGAACGTGGAGGAAACGAAAGTTCCGGATTGGCAATTAAAAGCCAATAATGTAGTGAGCGTGTAACAACATTCGAATTTGAGCCGAGCACAGGAACTGCTTCAGTTTTAGGGTAACACCTAACTGGTAGACGCAGCAAGAGGTGCATCCGCGCATCCGCACACCTCAAGAAACTGGACTCAACTGCCGAACTGTTATTAATGCGTGACGTCGCACGCACTTCAAATTTCTGATCTGTTATCAAAATGCCTTCTTCCTCTTCATAGCAATATTTAGTTCAATAGGACTGAATGGAAGCTGAACGATTCAGAACGAAGACAACAACAAATTTCCACCAAATGTAACAAAGAGAAAATAGCAAAGGGAAATTGTATACCAACCGACCTTGGCAACATCCTAGATGCAATAGGTGAACGAAACGAACGGAGCAAAGAGAAAAACGACGGTGAAGCAGAAGTGCAATCACACATAAATTGCTCTCAAAATAAGCAGAGATAACATAAACGAGAAATATAAACAAATTACTAATTAACAATCATAAAATCATTACCAAATATCCAAGTGACATATTTGCAGTGATTTTGGAGCATATATGCAATAACTCAGATCGAAACGCATCTTCACTTGCCATTGAGTATTCGTAATTTTAAGTATTCACGGAAGTCACGTAAAATGAAGTACAGGATTAGATAACATAAAGATGAATATTCTGAGCTAAAGAGTGGAAGTCGAAGGTCGGCCATTAGATACATTATTCAGTTGAATCTTATGCCACTGAAATTTTGCCGTAGCTGAATTCTATATGTTAATATGTTAGTCACGTAAATATTATATTGCCCAGCGAGGAAGCGTGATTTTTAGAATAGATGACTTTCAAATGCCAAGGTTGTATGTTAATAATCTCACTTTAATTTAAGGGTTGTTTTTGAATAACAGCCCACATACCTGGAAGAGTATGGTTTTATGAGGATCTCAAAAAAAATAAAAAAGATATAAAATAATGGCAGATCTACCTGCCGGTTAGGTTTTCGGGGTTGCAGGAACCCTGAAAATAGTAGTTGCTTCGTATTTCGGTCACGTAGGAGTATCATGGATATTTTCGTTACAAGTCTTGCTCTTTTACGAACGCATCTCCCTCTATACAACTGACGGAACGAGAAATAAAAATTAGTCAATTGAAGTCTTATTATTTCACCTTGAACCAAGTATTAATTTGGCCGGTTTTGGTCTACAGCAGGTCACCTTGGTGTTTATGTTGTTTGTATATTCTAATTTTCATTGTCATGCATGCACGAGATTTATGTGAATCTTTCATAATTACAAATTTTTGTAAATAAAGAATATTTATTTTTATTGTTAGTTTATTTATTTATTTAAGTTACACTGCGAAATGAGTAGAGGTGTTTGGACTATGGTCTACTTTTATTCTCAATTGCTTACGGTACTTACATTCATAATGCGAGGATTTGTTTAGACTGATACTGCATCGGCACATCCACTCAATGCACAATATATAACAGAAACTCTATTTGTATATAGATAGGAAGACAGAGATAAATAAAGATGTATATAGATTCGAATTAGTGCACGTATGAAAACGAGGGAGAGTTAAACGGAGCCCAGACTAAAACAATATATGCAACGACGGGGATAAACAGAGGACGTAATATTCTTGTCTAGACGAACTGCTCATATACCATTTACTAAAATAGTCACTTCAGACTGACATCAATAGGCTTGCGCACAAGCCAGTACATAGCTGCATGACTGGCTGTTATGGTCTACGACCGAGGGATCGATAATGGCACATTATATAATAATGTCTGTGTGTGCGTCTAAATTGTCTGCGTCTCAGGTACAGCGCTGTGTGTATACAATATATGTTATTATGTATACAAATGCCCGGCAACGCGCTGAATACGCAACAAATAGATAATTTAGGATACAAATGAGTGAAATCTTAGTTTTGTTTTTTTTATTTATCTTTACTAATACGTGATATATATATATACACATTTGTTTTTTAAAGACCAACATTAATGTAGCTTTTAAAGCATTATCATACATGGGCTAATAATGTTATTCTAATATAATAAATACATACAATATTCTTTTTAGTTATCCTTAATACTTAATTTAATAAAAATAATTATTGAGAATACTGAGATGGTATTTGGAGACATAATTAATATTAGATTCAGGTGTCCTGGTTCAATTATAGCATGTTAAACAATTGTAGTTATTTCCATTCTTATATCTGCAACAATAACAAAGGTTATTCTTAATATTTAGTGGTTCACATATCACTTACATAGCAACTGTGCATCTAGAGCAGAAGTTTTCAGAGCAGATGTTGCAAATCCTCCAGCAGCTATGACATACTGTAGTCTCACAGAACCAGCACATATTGACATACTGTTTCAGCTGTCTACACTCAGAGCACAAACGATAGTCAACTGTCTGAAAATGAAAATAAATTTTTAATTCTAGTAATGTTGCTGTGATATTCCACTGACCTGATTTTGGGATACCAAAGTTGGCCTGTTGTTATTATTCATGCCCTGGAAAAGTTTGTTGATAGTTTTTGCTGGATCCGTGCAAGCAAATAAAGCAAGTTACTATTGTTCAATTTGAGAACTTAACCTTAAACGTACCATGTATTTCTCTCATGTAATTCTGATTGTGCTTGTTTAAGTCATCTGAAGAAACGTGAACTTTCACCAACGGAGCACAGTTCTCATCAAATGGACATGGACGTTTAGCCATATTGCACTTCTATTTTCAAAACTGCTCTTAAAACTATTTTCTAAATATCTTGTTTTCTCCGCAGCGATTAAATTGAAATGGTTTTGTTGAGATGTGAAAAGGGCGCATGTATGCAGAGCGCATTAGTACGCATCACGTGAATAATGGCGGGAACCATTTTAAATCCATCAAGATTCTCAGTAGTAGGTCTCATGTTACTTCCGTTGTATACTACTACTATAGATGATGAGTATTTTATGTAAAGCATAATAAATTTGATCAATTCAGTTTGAGTTTGAAAATTTCAAAACAAATTAAATTTTAATTAAGAAAAATATATTCTAAAAAAATAGTACAAAAATTTGTTGTTTATACATAAATGATGATGTTTTTCCCTTTATAGTGTCCTTTTATGTGGTTTTAAAGTCTTCGGGAGACACAAAAGAAGGAGAAGTAAGTCTTCGATTAATCTAGTTTCAAACTATTCTCATTACTAATATATTGCATTTGCCGAAAATAATTAAGTATTTAATTATTAGAGATTACATAGTATTGTATAGTAGGCAACCAAGTATACAATTACGTAAATTGTTTAAAATATGTTTTGTTTTAGATCGTAGCTAAGTGTAGAAGCTCTTCCGGCAAGGAAGAAGCAGATGACGTATCAGAACAGTTTTATGTTGTTCTCTTATTATAATAATATATATTGTTTGATAGCCTTTTGGCCTTTATGATTGTTTATTTTGATACTGCTTTTTAATTTATTACAAAATGTACGCGAGAATTTGGAAACAAATACAAAAATTCATCAGACCTAAGGGCTTTCAACTAATAGCATTATTGTATTATTTATAAAATAGTGATTGAATAGTGATTTGTAAGTGATTTCTTAGATATTGTTAATATTTCTGTTTTTAATAACAAATAATTTTAATAACTCCTTGTGATGAAAGTCATGTTTGATCAAAGCGTATTGGGAAAATCTAAGTTCAATTCTAAGTTGAACTGCGGTTTGAATAAGCAGCCTTTTCTGGTAACGATGGTTTGTTTACTTGTTTATTTAGGTAGCCTTGGTTCGTTTCCCGAATTATCACATGAATTTTTAGTTTTATCTACTCTTGAGTTTTCAGGTAATAATAACTAAGTAAATACTTGTGAACCACCGGAAAGAAGTTAGCAAATAAACTTATATAAAACAATAACAACAAACAGAAATTGTTAAGATTAGAAGAATAAATACTATGTTTTATGTAAGTCAAAGAAATTATAAAATAAATTAAAAAGTCACATAGATCTAAATTAGTAGAAAAATCATTGGCTTAGTGAAATAAAAATATGTTTCTAGTAAATATGAATGAAAATTTGTTAATAGTTACCCTTAAGATAATTACGTAATACATATAATAAAATATAAAAAAGCCATAGTTGATCATTGTGTGACAATTCTAAATTTCTATCGAAATCTAATAGTTTTGCAAACCAACAAATTATACTTTATTTAGGTACAAAAAAATGATAATATTTTTGTTATTTTTTTGAATTTAAATTATCTTTACTTTTTGTGATAGCTCATAGAGGCCATTCCAAAATCTGGTTCTGTAGATAAGCCAACTAAAATAACGTCTAATGATTAACCAAAAATATCATAGCACGACACTAGTCTAGTCTGGTAATGGTTGTAGTAGAACACACTAGGAAGAAACGTAGATACACATAGAAACGAAAAATATGTTGACTGTCAAAATAGAAAATTTAAAAGAAAGAGAATCGCAAATTGCAGGTACATTATATGTCGAAATAAATAATAATTATATCAATTTTCAAGAAAATGTATTTTATATTCGGGAAAAAGTTCGATTTTTCATTCCTGATGTCAAATTGAAATAATTATGTTTATGAATAATGTTATTTCTATATTTTAATTTGAATGTATTTTATTGCGTTTATTCAATTTATCTGTTCAAGATATAAAGAGAAAAACAAAATGAAAATTATTGCCCTAAATATATAAACAAAAATAAAATAATAATTCTATAAATTTAAAATAAATTCGCTTAAAATAAATGTATGTATAACTTTTTATACGTAACATAGAAAGGACGATTTTTCGAGTCGCTATGAGCTATGAGCTGCAGAAATTGAAAAAACAGAGAAACAACGTTTCTTTTTCACTCTTTTCAGTTTATCGTGGATTTCTCGACAACCCCTTAAGATAAT